AGTTGTAGGGGTGTGAGGGAGATGTGATGGAAGAGCCTTGTAGGAGAAATTGGGGGCAACAGACCAAGAAACAGTTTGTGTGTACAGTAAACCGTGGAAAAAGGACGACTTGTGTTTAATTGGTCTCGCGACTCGTGACCCGTAATGTAAACGCACCGAATCCCCTGGACGTTTAAAATGTGGCCCATGAGAGACCGATGATTAATGTGTAGATTGCGTATCCTCCAGTGATCCCATTTACTCCATATACTATCTTCATGGATGCATTCATCTCCTATCTATGCACCAGTTGCCTTTGGAGAGTTTCCCTCCTCTCACCTGCCTCTCATCACCCAATTATCCCCATGTATACCTGCCGTAGCCACACGATGCCATGTGGGTCTATTTTTGAGGTAAGAATGATCGTATGTACCCAGAAAGCAAGACACACATTGCAAAAAGAAGTGATTTTATTCTCTACAGTCCCATGTACTTCCTATTTCCTCCCCGTCTGCACAGCCTCACTTACGATCTGATGCAGGAAGTGTCAGTGTAATTATCAGTCTCTCGTCTGACCGGTTCAAACAGCTCTCAGTGAGCCGGGGTGTGAAGAAGAAACGCGAGGGGCTGTTAAACCTCCACACCGCAGGCAGGCCGCAACGCTCAACACACGGCCGCCACATGTGGGCCCCCCTGAATATAGACTACTTCTTTCCACGTGGGTATTCAAAGACAGGGGGCTGTAGTCACTCTCAAGCAAAAATGTATTTCCTATGGATGTAAACAAGAGCTTCTGGCACTACCATTTTTGTGAGGGTGATTCAGACCTTGTTGTCGAGCTTTCTGGTTTAATTGGGCTCTAATTTGTGTATTTAAGACAACTAGGAACTCTACACATTCACATTCTTGTTTGATTACAAATAACTCCATCCCCTACTTTTCTGACAACGGAAGCTCACATTGTAAATAGTAAACCTACTTTACTAATCATCGACTAAAAGACAAGGTTAAGTACATTTGTCTGTATTTAATTTAAATAATGCATGCTTTCTGCAAGTGTCAATATGTGATTAGGGAGCTGGTAGTGTTAAAGGTAACTAATTACATTTGCCAAAGCATTATACATTTTTTTTATTGTTTGGTGTATTTTGCACCTGGAACACTTTGAAGGGTGGATGTTTCCTTTTCCCCGATAGCACAGAGCTCAAAACGGCAATTATGAATATTTGCAATCGCTCTCAACCCTCTGTGTAGCATAAGAGTACTCTGCTCTGTATTGGAGATATCTTTTCTTGCACCGTCCCCGTCAAAAGAGGACAGAAATCGTAGAAGGGAAATAACCCTTTTTTGTAGAAAGTGATGCAGGTTTTGGTCCCAGACGAAGGATAAATGGCTGAACTGGTTCATTGACTCCAGCCTTTCCAAAATATCATCTGATTGGTTATGCTGCCAAGTGGGAGACATTCTCAATTTCATCTCTCAGCTCCATTACCTGACAAAAGACAGCAGTGTCCTGAGAGAGGCGTATCTCTCGGGTGGCAGCCGATGATTTGTGTGTCTCCAGATCATTCTGTGCACTCTGTCTTGTTTTAAAATGGACGTGTGCAGAAGGGGGAGACTCTGCAGAAACAGAGGCTCATAATTGAGATTTGTGTGAAAGCACCTGTACGATTTAATGGCCTGGACAATTTGAAAATTGAAGCCTGGACAGAAATGGCATTAGTGGCACCGTTTTTATATTCTGCCTGCAGTTATACATGCTGCACTGACCACAGGAGCCCAGCCTGATAATCAAATCTGTAGCACTGTGACATTCAGATGGTGAGTTCACTTACCCTGAGGAAAAAGTGCAATAAATTAGACCCAAAAAACGGTGCCATTTCCATGACAGCCAAACAAAGAATCCAGCCCCCCTTGACAAAAGGAAGATTTACATAATTACACTGGGAACAGATTACATAAAAAGACTCCTTGTATAATTCATAACTCCGTCTTTCCACACAAATGGTATCTGTTCCAAATGGTGAAGAGAGAGAAAGGACAGATGGAGGCGGCGAGTAAGAAAAGGTTGGGAATACATCAGTGGCCTACTGAGCCAACAGGATGTGCCAGCATGGGTGTGTTTGCACATGCAGGTGTGTGTGTGTGTGTGTGTGTGTGTGTGTGTGTGTGTGTGATGAGGGCATTTGTATGCTGTCGGCATCTGAAATCCGTCGTGTGGTGAAGATGAATGGCGTTGGCTTTAAGTCAAATGTTAATCCTAAGACAAAGGCGAGAGAAAAGAGGGAGACATGTAGACAGCTTGTGCATCGTGTCATAACTAAAATATAGAATTAAATTCAGTGTGTACAGTCTGCAAACAGCTTCATTAAAAATGCACTTCTCCCCATCTCCGGTCGCTCACCTCGAAGAGTGAAAACACACTGATTAGATTAGCCCGACTGGAGTCTTTAAAGTCTTCTGGAAATGTCAGCAGAATCATCAAAGCGCCCGCCTCCTTCATAAAGCCTTGATGAAAGGCATTCTCCACATACTGCGCCTTCTATATTGTTAGCTCACGGGTACAACGTCTACATCTGCACAACATTATTGCTTTTATGGGAGTTTTATAAGTGGAGACAGACCGAAATCGGGCAGAGACAAGTGACATGTCCCCCTCTTAGCTACACCCCGAGCCCACCAACTCTGTGCTGCATTTGCAAATCTGTCACATGTATTCATGTACTTGTTTTACGAGCATACCTCTTTTTTGCTCAGGGCGCCTCCTCCCTTTATGGTGCACTTTCTCTACAAGACAAGGTGCACCTCTGCCTGCTTTTTCTCCATCACCTGAAGGTCAACATCTTGAGCTAACGTGAGTATTTGTTGAATACATCACACAGCATTATAATCTCACATAAACACCACAATACCCTCCCACAACAACTCCTAAAAACTGAAGAATTGGACGATATCAATCCCCCCCCCC